AAACTCTGCTGCCCTTGTCTAAACTCGTACTGATGCCCATCACCCTGTGTTCAATTATCTACAATTGGTTCCAGTTAAGCAATACTTCAATTTTAATAAATTCACCCCCTTGTCCTCAAAACACCTCCGTAGGCTTGTCTCTCCCTGACTCTATAATTCTACCAGCTACACAATCCTCTGAGATATCTGTGTATCTCCATTTCTGGCTTCTTGAATGAAGCTATTTTTGATTGTTCCACCACTGGTGGCCATGATTCAACTATTAACACCCTAAAATCTGGAATTTCTCCCTTAAACCTCATTGTCTCTCTTTCCCTATTAAGATTTAGTTCTCTGACCATTCTTGGGTCACCTGCCTATTATCACTTTTGTGCTCGGTGTCAATTTTTGTTTCTGCATACATGTGTAAAATGTTTTGAGATATTTTGTTACATTAGAGATGTGACATAAATACATGTTGTTGCTGATTGAAATTGATCAGATATGATATGGGCTTCGGTTGTTTCTATCATTATACACATCAATTCTCTGGAATTTCTCATTCCATATGGAACACTTCTCTTCTGTGTAATATTTACCAAATCCCATTTTATTTAAATTTATTGGTTTTGCCAACTTTTGAATTACTTATGTATATTCTTACATTGGTATACATGTTTGTTCTACGCTTGGAAACTTGGTTCACTAGTCAAAGTATACCAGGGGTTGATTCAGGAATTCCAGAAAAGGATGGAATAACATTTTGGAGCCTGTCAGAGGCAAGGACAAAGGCAGACACATGCTGGAGTTTTCCAATACCAGCTGCTATGTTGGCTTGTTAGCAACATTTCTCTTCCAGGCCATTTTTAGGGAGGCAGGACAGGGTTAATGGAAGAAAGTAGGAGGTATGTTAAAGAAAGGAATAGACAGATTTCTGGAAACTAAAGGTGCTTAGAAGTATGGGGAGAGAACGGAGAATGGCATTGAGATAGAGCATTAGCCATGATCATGTAAAATGGTAGAGTGGATTGATGGGCGAAATGGCCTACTCCTATTCCTATTTTCTATGATTCTAGGACCAATTAGGAGGCTATTAAATTCCAACTCCTACACCAAATGGTATTTTACAGTTGGCATGTAGACCTCCTGAAAAATAGCCAGGCACAGTTGAAGATATGAAAACAACAGAATTTCTACCAAGAATCTCGAAATTGACTGTTGAACTGCCTATTTTAACGTTCCTAGTTCCATTTAGTATTGATCACAACATTGACTTCTCCGTTCTTCATGAACAATTCAGATACTGATCCATAAATCCTTTTTTGTTAATTTTTATCTTTTTGGACTCAAGACTCATTCCCTAACTCTGCATGTGCCTGTGTTGCATTACTATTTTTTTTCTTGAGTTTGGTTATTAAAAAGCTCACTCTTTTTGTTTATTCAAGGAAACCTAGTTACATCGGCTCCTTTCAAAACACAAGTTCATTTGAGTTTAAGAAAGGTATCTAGAAAGGAAGGTATCCATTTCAAATTAATTTTTGTTGTGAACTGAGTGGGGGTGTGGTGGTGATGGTGTTGGGTAAATAAGAAAATTCGTCCCGCATCACCTGATAGCTTATTGATCTGAGGTATCCTGTCTGGAACTGTATTTGGGAACTTTGTCTGGAATCCGGTCCTAACAATATTGAAGAAAATCTATTAGTCCTAATGAAGAGTTATACATTTTGCCAATCTATTTGTTACAAATTCTCAGTGAGTTTTGCATTTGTTTGATAGTGCATAGGACTATATAAAATTGCAGCACAGCAGCTGGTCACTCCATCTAGCTAGTCAAAAATGCATGCTTATGCTCCACACAAATCATCTCCCATTGTACTGCATCTCAACCCATCAGCATATTTCTACTCTCTATCTCTCTCTCACTTATCCGCTCATTTAACTTCTTATTCAGCATTTTCAGAATATTTTGTGCAATTTTAGCCATGTTTTGGCTGATGGAATCAGCATCACCATGAACATGACTATGATGGCCTAGTGGTATTATCACTAGACTATTAATCCAGAGACCCAGATAATGGGTCTTGGGGATCTGGGTTCAAACCCTTCCATCGTGGAATTTGAATTCAATAAAAATCTTGTAATTAAGAGTCTATTGTTGATAATTTGGGAAAATCCATACAGTTCACTAATGCCCTTTAGGGAAGGAAATTGCCATCCTTACCTGGTCCAGTTCTACATGTGATCTTTAACTGCACCTTGGAAATTACAGATGGGCAATAAATGCTGGTCCATGAAAGAATAATAAAATCCTATTCACTCACTGCAGCTTACCCATTTTATGCATAATATGTGACAGTAGCAAGTGTGGTGATAATCCTCGACCCTATTTCTCCAAACAGCATTTCTGCTGCTTGATCAACAAATCAGGGAGCTCATGGACACTTAAATTCATGGAAATTGTTTATAATGTAGTCAAACATTTATGCATCAATAACATTTTTACCTTCAACTTCTGCTGCAAGGCTTTACATAGCTGTAGCCACACATCAGATATCCCATAATTCAAAGAGCCAAATCCAGATAACTACTTTCAGCGCGTATCAGGAGCTCACTGAAATGCATATAATTAAGGCAGGAGATGCACCAAGGTCAGACATATCCAGTTCTGTGAACTCAAAGCCCATTGTACTTAATACCACTTAACTGGTTAATACTGTGTAAAATGGCTCCTTGAAATAAATTCAAAGCACTTCACTGATCGAAGCACATTGAAGTTCAATAGTTGATGTTATCACAATTTTCTGACCAGTTACCTGCTGTGTTGAAGGCTCAATAGTGGCACGCAATCTCAGAATATTTCCTCTTCAGTGTACACAGATTCTGCAATATGCTACTTTATTCAATGGCTTTAAGATGATCTATTCAAGGTGGTAACCCAATTTTTTTTTGAATGTTAGGCAAAATTTCCACAACAATTCTTAAATTGCCAAGCCGGTTTTCTGAATTAATGAACCTATTTTATCATTATCAACAAACAACATTAGATATTTCTGAAATGGATATGGTGCTTGACACACAAACCTGAACAAGATTAACAGTAAATTTGCTGAAACCTTTAATTTGAAAATTCAACACAGGTTTAATCAGCCTTAGATTACAAGATAACTTGTGTAATACAGCAAACTATAACCACACAGTGTCTTGAAAAAATATAGCATTTCTCTTTCAACTGGATTCATTTAAAGTAGGGTAAATAAAATTATGCTGGAATAAATATTTTTTCCCTTTATCTCTGATAATTCTATTCATCTTAACTTTCTCCTCACAATTTGAATTAGTCCACCAACTGGAAACCAATGTAACTATTATTCCTCAGCCACAAAGCACAACTAGACTTTTGTAACTGTTAGCTATCACTGTCAGAATTCAAAACTACCATCAAAATTCCAGGATTAAACACTTGCATTGTAATTAACTGGAAATATGTTTGGAAAAACACTTAATATTGCTGTACATGAATCTGAATTTGACAATTTATTTTTCTTTTGCTAACCTGAAGTACGCAGATCCTTCCTTTAAAAAAATGTACAGCACTGAAAGATTCTAAAAATAAACTACACAGGAGTGAGAAATGACTTAAAGGATGCTAAACAGAGGTTGAGAGATGCAAGATGGGAGAAATATAATTCCAAACATCTGAGATTGTGTGGAGGTATGAAGAGAAGAAATGGATAAAAATAGTGCACCACATGAATAATTGAGCAATCACATTAAATACTCAAATCCCCAATTAAAAAAACTGTTTAGTTTTAAAAGATTGCGTGACTGAAGTAAACAACAGATAAATATTTCTTCATTATCGACCACTCAGAAGAATTAGAAAATTCTATTCCAGTTATATTTTGCAATGAAATGCAAATACATTCCAGGTCTGCTCCAAATGTTAAAATAGATGAATTTAAATTCCATTTAAATTATATTCATTCCTTTCTTTATATATAATACGAGAGAGCTGTTTTGTGTGTGTGCGTGTGCATACTTCTAAAATGCAGAGAAACACGAAGGATGAAATGTTCTTCAGGCATGGTCATAGCAAGAACATTTCAGCAAAAGACTTTTTTCACATAAATTGCAAAATAATCTGGGGAATTATTTACTGAAAGATCTCCACATGTGGTTCCAGTGTGGTTTCCATTTCGAGGCCTTTGTTATACATTTACAGCAAATGTCTTAGTGAAAACATTGCAAGATCTGGTTCCAAATATCTTGCCTAAAAGGTTTGTTTTAAAGGAATGAACAAAGAGATTTGGATCCATTATTCTGCTGGCTATCAACCATCAGCCTGGAGCTCTTTAATCTGGAAAATTCAAGGCTGAATAGTAAATCAATTGACGTGTTAAAATCATGAAGGGATTTAATAGGTCAAATATCGGGATAAAGTTTTTATTCAGGAACAGCCCAAAATTAGGGACCATAAATATAAGCTGGTCACAAATAAATCCCTGAAGCAATTCAGGGGAAACTACTCAGAGACTGGAGAGAACGTGGAACTTTCAACCACATGTGGTAGTGGCAAGTAGAACAGATGTTTTCAATGTGCATGAAAATAAATTTGCAATCCAATTGAAGATGATAAACAGGTTTTCAAAGCTGGGAAACCAATCAGAGAGCTTTCAGCTTGAAAGGAGCTGCAGGCTATAATGGCAGGTGAGCATGCTTCAAAATGGAGGCAGTCACTCTTCATCATTTTAAAAAGTCTTTGATGTAAGAATGGCCTTTATATCCATGATGGTGATGTTGGTGGGGTGATAGCTCCTTTATGTGGTAGCCAGTAACCTGTACTGCACCAAAGCAGGCACAGGGGTTTTCTGGGCTGTCTGGAGTGCTAGCTCCTCAACCTTCTGCCAAGATATTCAATTAGCAACTGGTTATTAACAAGGACCTGAGAGCTGACAGGAAATTCCCAGTCAACCTCCTTTATTTGGGAACAATTGGCCCTTAATGGGCCATGATGGTTGCCCACTGAGTCTGGATGGGTATAGACCTGACTGTCCTGGATCCTGCCTTCTCAAAATTTGAAATGTGATGGAGGCAGGTAATTGCTGTTTCACCTGCTCTAACCCTGACCTTGATGGGTCCCAAATTTCAGAGGACTGAAATTTAAAAGAAGTTGTCAATTTAAATGTTAAATTGACAGCTGACTCAGTCTGTTACTTATTTTGGTTTCTACTCTGTTTCAAATGCATGCCAAAACTGCTTATATTTTATCTGGCAGGTATCAGCTTTTGAATCATACATTTGCTGCTGTTTTACTTTCACTAATTGTGATGTCGGGCTGGTATGCAAAATGTTGCTGACTAATCATGACGCAGGAGGATAGGATAAGTCTTATAGGAATTTACATCATAGAAAAATGTTTTGTCTGAAACTGGGTAATCTGGATGCACGTTATGTTCAAAATTGCACTTGTTTACCAAATTGATTTTCTGACTCTAGTTTCTGTTCAAACTCATTCAATGTATATACAGATGTGAAATCTTCTACAAATCAATGCAATGGGCGCACATTTTAGAAGGTATTTGTTTACTTTTAAAGATCGTCCTAAATTATATTTTTTTAGTGGTAAGCGCAATTTTATTATAGCGCTGCAAATTGCTTTATTACAAAATAACTGATTTCAATAAGTATCTAAACTACTTGAAAGTAACTCAATTTTTAAAATCATTAACATTGAACTATTTACTAGCTTCATTGGTATGCTTTGCAAATGTGATCTATTAGCTTAATTGAATTAATTATTTTAGCAAGTCTCTATTAGTACCCCTCTGCATAAATGGGTCAGGAGCTCAGTACCCATTCTCCTGCCTGTGCTTACATACAGAAGTTAAGCAGTTCTGTGCATAAGAGACAGTAGGAGTGGGGAGAGTATTAGCATTCAATCTCGTTGGCCTCATTCATTAATTTTTTTTTTTGTAATGGTCCCATTTCTCAAAATCCAGTTAGAAGTTCAGCAAATACTGTAATTGCCAACAGCAGTGCTAGTTGAAAGCATATAACTACCTTGACAATGTTTTATTTCCAAACATCAATTGTACCAAAGTGGTTCTTACATTTCCCAAACCATACTCCTTCCTTTTCTGGAATCTCTTGGAAAAAGATTAACAATTATGACATATTGTGCTTACTTATGGATCTTTGCCAACCACCAATAGGTGAGACTGTTTGGATTCAGCCAACACCCAGAGAAGATTTTCATCTTGTTAGCACTCAAACATAGGATCCAAAGCAAAAATGGTGCTCTGCTATGCTGCACTATCTGGTCAATAATTAATAGGATCCTATGTAATGGGCAGGTGACTTGTTGAAACAAATGGTTTATCACTTAGATCCACTTAGAGAAACGAAGGACTTTCACTGCCTTGGGAACTTTTTGTACAAACTTATAGCATTCAGGCAGCAAATTGTTACAAGCAGTACAAGTTGAAATTTGTGGGATGTTATGCTTTTCCAGATCCCATCCCATTAATGCGCAGACCTGGATCCACTAGACCAATTCTAGGCAGATGTTTCACAAACTAGATCCTGGTTAATAACAGATAAAATGTTTATCTATAACTGGAGAAGGGAATGGAATGAATTGGTGCTAATTCACTGAAGCATTCACTACCTTGATTGTGCCCTTTTAAATAATAGATTGGTACTAGCATATTTTCAGTTTTACAAACATGCAAAAAATCTACCTTCAGAATAGTTTCCTAGAAATAGCTCTATACATATGCAACAAAGTCTTCAGAAAAACTGTAACTCATTATATAAAACTTGCATCCTGTCAACCGAGCTAGGACTCAAACCTAGGAACAAAGCAAATATGGTGATCTGCCATGCCTATCAATAATTAATAGGATCCTATGTAAAGGGCAAATGATTTGTTGCAACAAGTTGTTGACAATGATTTACAAGTAAACTTACAATTTTCTATAATTAAAATGTTGAATTATTATTATTCACAGCATGTGAGTATTGCCCATCCTTCATTGCCCAGGGGGGCAGTTAAGGGTCAACCACACTGCAGTGGGACCGCAGTTCCATGTAGGTGGGGTCATATATAGGCCAGACCAAGTAAGATGGCTGTTTTCACTCTCCCTTTTTAAGAAAGGGGAGAAACAGATGAACTTTTCTTGACAATTATTTCATAGTCATCATTAGACCCTTTAATCCCAGGTTTTCATTGAATTCAAATTCCAACATTTGCCATGGTGGGATTCAGACTCATATCCCCAGAACATTACCTGGGTCTCTGCATTAATAGGTCTGGTAATAAATCTACTAGGCCACTGTCTTCCCAGCTATCTAATTTTATGAAAGTTGTTTTCAAATTGATAACTGAAACTCAATCTACAGCAAAAGGTTTTTTTTTATTTTATAGTACATTTTCCTCTGGTAAATTCACAAACTGTAAGATTATTTTCTAGGTTACTCAACAGAGCTGCAAATCACTTATTATTATTTTCTGCCCTGAACATTTAAATTTCAATCTCAAATGTTTGCATATCAGATTTCTTCTTCATACGTCCAGTATCAGTTTTATTTGTGATATTTCATGGGTTGAGGAAGACGTATCTGGGAGTTTGCTTCACAATGGTGGTGTTGCAGAAGGTAATGGTTCTCAAGGGGTTAATGTTCAGATTACATTGGCTCCACCCATTCTACTGAGTTCACATAAAGTCTGTGTATGGATGCAAGGAGTTCTACTCTAGGTTTCAGAGGGCACAGATGTATCTATTCCAACTCCATAAGGTTGTGGTAATAATGGCTGGTAGTTGTACTGATTGCTAACATGCTCTAAATCTTCTTGTTGTCTAAGAACAGTGCCTTTTCTGTAGATACTCTATCAAGGTGTATACTTTACTGTCAATCACTGGAGACGCCCCAGACAAAATAAAGGAGGATCCATAGAAATGAACTACTTCAAACAGTCTTGTTCCAGTATCACATTGTGTCAAGGTGGTAAATACCACAAGGTGACAGCAGTTGTTATCTGAACAAAAATCACAACTTTATCCATTTTCCTTTGGCAAGACTGAAAGTACTCTCGATTAATGCAAGGTGATTTTAGAGTATTGGAAAACTGACACTAATTTACTTACGTAAAGAGAAGGTAAGAGTTGGTAGAGAGCATGTCATCTCCCCACCAGGTTCTAATCTCTCCAAATAAGTATCAGGATGGTTATAAGACCCAATTGTCGTCATCCAACCTTGATTTTTTTTGCATCTTAAATAGACTTTCACTTGGCCGAAGGATAGGCCTGAAGAAACTGTAAGAATTCTACTCGTAAAGGCTGAGTGATGAACATGTGGCAGTTTAAATACAGGTTTTCTGAATTCAATAATAAGTTCCCAAATGTTCCTGGTTGGTAGAATATTAGACTTAAAGTGAAATTAAGTCAAACAGCAGCATATGAATCTAGGAATATTCTCTCCAAGACTCTAAATGTCCACAGTAGGAATTATGCAGCCAGACCAATTGGTTACTACACAAGCATTTATTTGCACATGAATATTTTAGGATTAAAAACCCTCTTGGGGTGATGGAAACCACGTGGTTTCAGATCAGCCAAACATTATACATTGTTTTTGATGATACAAAGATAGGTAGGAAAACAAATTAGAAGACATGAAGGGTGGAATAAAATCAGAAGACATTGGGACTGGAAATGGTCACCACAATGGTTTGCGTAGTGGGAGTTGCAATTATAATGTATATCGTATGTGCCTGCAAAGTCACCATGGTCCCATTTTGTTATTACAAAGAGATAATTGGTGGTGGTTTAACCTGATGATCACACCTTGCTAGGGCAAGGTCAAGAAGGTGCAACCTTCATGCTAGCCTCACCTGGTATGGGAATTGAACCCATGCTGTTGTCATCAGTGTACATTACAAACCAGTCATCCAGCCACTGAGCTAGGAAGACACAGGAAACACCTATAATCACATTGTAGAGGTGGACAGCATCAGTTATAAATACAGGCTCCTTTTAAGGCTCGAGCAGATTAGCTCCAGAATTGATTGATTGAGAGCAGGTGATGGTCCCCTCAGTGTGTAATGGAATGGGGTTATAGTTCCCAACTCGCCTTATGCCAGACGTTGGCAATTTCTGGCAATATTTATCCAAAGCAAAAATCTTTACTAGCCTGAATTTGAAGGATGGGTCCTGTTGTGAAACTGGATTAGAGCAGCAGTTCTTTTAATGACATTCAGGATGCCATTTAGGGAATAGAGATGATAATGTATGCTATCTGGCATTTTCACTGCTCCAAAAGTGTATCAAAGCAGACAGCACAAGATAGTCAGTGATCTCCTCAGAATGGAAGCTTTTGTGGATGATCTGCAAGTCTATAGATCTAGAGATACAATGCTAAAAGTAATGACAGACCGCGATCAGAATTTAGTGCCACAGTCAGACAGGGCCTGCCAGATGAATCTGAAACAGAACAAGAAAGTATGCAATTGAAGTTGCTTGCGGTTTCATACATAGGTTACGTACTGAAAAAGAAAGGACTTTACCTGGATCCAAACAAGGTGACAGCTGTAGAGAATTGCAGCACCACCAGGTCCAAAAACAGTGCAACAACTTGTTGTATTCGTGAACTATCTTGCAAAGTTATTTCTTAATTAATTATCAGGATGTTAAACTCTACACAAGCTCACTGCTAAAGACATGCAGTAGCCTCGGGACTCAGAACAAGAAACAACTTTCGCTAGAATCGAGCAACTGGTAATAAGACCAGTGCTGAAGTATTACGACATCATCAATGAAATCACCTTGTTGAGTGATATGAGCAGGACAGGAGTGAGTGGCAAAATCAAAGTGACTGAACAGAAAGCTGAATTTCACTTTAATAATGCTGCCAAATTATTGGCAGAGCTGAGCATTGCTGAGCCAGTCAGAGTCCAAACATTCAATGTCCTTATCAAAAGTCAGCCTGTATAACCAATTGTGTAGAGCAGTTGTCACCTTTGATTGTACATAGTGAAAATGATCAACCATCTACATCATCACAACCATAGGCACATACACAGAAATAAAGAAGGTTCACAGCAAAGAAGATGAGATGTTGCCAACATTCACAGAGTTAAAAAAAACCTTTAACACACAGCTTTGTTCATGAACAACAATTTTCTTTTTTGACCATTTTTATAATGAATAACTCGTAACTGCAAATGGTAGTGTATGCAAATTTTTTGGAGAAATGCATTTGTACGTTGTGTATTCTGGCTTAATATGATCATGTAATCTCTGTTCTAGATACTTTCAGTATCTCTCGTAGCCACTAAACCCATTACATGACACAAGGATCATAGATTGAAAACTGAAAGAAAAATTGGTGAGTATGTTTCTCAATATTTAATTAAATTTGCCAAGTTTTCCAGGAAGGGATGTTCAACATCCATGCTCATTGACCACAATTTGGAGCTTCTTTGATAAATATGTTTCCACCAAGTGTCATCTGCAGCAGCACTGAATGACCAATGAGATGATAAATCAAAGGAACGTTGATTTGAAATTTGCATGTGCCCCTCATCACATTTCAGTTGACATTTAAAATCTACCAATTAGACCTGTAGTTATTTCTCTTGGGTTAACAGTCTTGTTTCACTAAGTGATGGTTAGCTCTGTATTTAAAATTGTTTGTTTATTAGTGGGCAGTAACAGCGCTGTCTGGAGGAGAGCTCCATAAGCAAGAGATTTACAAGATAATGCCTTGTTGTTCATATTCTGTGCCTTTTTCTTGTTTGCATTAATACAAAATCTTAGCAAGCATTTGCAAAATGCTAGCAGCCTGGCCTTATTTCTTCAAAACTTGTCAATGGCTATTCCAGTCAGAGGTAAGTCAGCTTTTACTAACTTAATCGAATCTGCACTGTTTCTGACCACATGGGAGTTATTTCAACTTTGGGCATAAGTATAAAAAGGGCTTTGTGGCACAGTGGTAGTATCCCTAACCCTGAGCCGAGAGACCCAGGTTAAAGTCCCACCTACTCCAGAGGTGTGTAATAACGTCTCTGAACAGTGTAATTAGAGAAATAAGTTAAATTTAAAATAAAGAGGAAGATGTCAATGGAAATCTGCTGAGATGTGCAACAATCAGTTGACCTGATTGTCCTTTAGTGTAAAACAGACACTAAGTCAAAGTTGCCTACTTGGATTGCAAAGGCAAGAGGTTCATTTTCTCTACAGTATTGGATTACTGAGTAGATGTATGTTTTTTAGAACACTACAGCTGCCTGTGATTACAGTAACAAGCAGCTTTCTTTTGAGGAAGTTAGAAAAAGTCTAAGTATTGATACTTCTCCTAGCCCTGCAAAAATTAACCAGCACAAACCTTTGTGGCCCACTTGTTGAATCACTAACCTGGGAAAGCTGTAGAGCCACTAGGCTTTCATCCACCTCTAATCAGCAAGCAGCTAAAAGTGTTGTCAGCAGTTTGTCAATGGGATAAGTAATGAGGCTTCACCAGGATGATTGAGTGAGCTCAGACTGCCTCCATTGGGCAAGAGTGAGGGCACATTCTACTGTACCTGCTTGAAGTAGTGTTTTGACTGAAGAGCATTTACAACTCATACTGCACAAAGGTGGGTTGATAACTGATTTTACCTTGTCCAATGGAGCACAAGTAAAACAGAGTGTTATCATGGTGGCTCAGTGGTTAGCACTGTTGCCTCACAGTGCCAGGGACCCAGGTTCCATTCCAGCCCAGGTGACTGTGTGGAATTTGATTATTCTCCCCGTGTCTGTGTGGGTTCGCTCTGGTTTCCTTCCACAGTACAAAGATGGACAGGTGAGGTGGATTGGCTATGCTAAATTGCCCATAGTGTCTCAGGTGGGTGGAAAATGCAGGAATACAGTAGAGGGTGGTTCTAGGTGCTCCTCAGAGGGTTAGTTTGGACTCAATGGACCGAATGGCCGGCTTCCACACTGTAGGGATTCAAAAAAAAGTGCTGGAACAATATTAAATAAACCATGTTGTGGTGAGCGACAATGCAGTTATGCAGTTCAACTCTATGTGAAAGAGTGTGGTCCATATTATTACTTGCTTAAGGGCTTATTTTTCATAATTTACTGTTTCCTAATGAGTATCTTTGCCAAAAGAGGCTATGACTCAAGTAATGATAAATGCTCGATTAATCTTAAAACAATTTAGTGTTCATTTTTAAAATTGCACTATTTTTCTATCATCACTTTAGCTGAACAGCTTATCGCCGTTAAGTCATTTAGGCATTACGACAACTATTCTAACAGCTCTTCATGAAAATTTATCTTTAAGTGTATTAAAACTGTTATTAAATCCCAGATATTAGCAAATCTTCTCAACATATTCATAGGATTTTTAACAGAATAATTAATATTAGAACTTAAATACCGAACCTTTTAAAACCAGAGGCAATTCAGTCCGCATTTTGCAGTTAAATGTGCTCAATGTAGCATTCTTAAATGTACTAGATTTCAGATAAGGTAAGGCATAATGATGGCATCTTCCACTGGGTTTGTGACAAAATGAAGAATGAAGACAGTTACACCAGTGAGGTGTCTAAGCTTTCAACTCGGAGACTAATTTGATCTCTTTTAAAGTGCGATATTAACAAAAGCCTAAATGCAATTATATATGGGAATACTTTCTCAAAGCAGATGTGTTTTTGGAAAGAATTGCCAACCTTTTCATAATTCAGCATCATGCTTATTTTAGCAATTCTAGGAACTGCTGCACATGCCTGCTATCTCTATTCGCTTCTAAAACTCCCCATTATACATACTATTTCTGAAATTTCAGTTCCTTTTCTGGATACGGAATTACATGTCATTTTGAGTAGGTTTTCATTTATTTTATATGGAGTGAATTGCATCACCGTTTGCATTTTCAAAAACAAGGAGATTTTATCAAGACCCAAACCGTTCATGGAAATAGCACAAATGTAATGTTCCATTATTTTTCTTTGACTTTCCACAGTAGTCATCTGAGAAAAATGTTTTTAATATGATAATAAAAACTGAAAAGAACTTGCATCAGATAAGTATTTTTGTTAAATAATAACTAATACAAAAGAGACCTAATAATAAGCAATGCAAAAGGAGTGAATATTTTCACCCAGTCCGCTCTATGTATTTAGTTTCACCAGGGGAACTGCCCAACTGCTAAACTCATTACACTATGTGAATATTTTTGCATCTCTTTAACCCATGCTGAACTTCAATGAAGTGCCTGTACACAGATGCTATGTGCTTACATTAATAATATGTAAGTTGATTGACAGAATGCAATTGTCACTTCCTATTTAGTGAGTAAGCTGTTAGGCTCATCAAATATACCGAACAGGAGTATTCATTTAACAGATTCACAGCTAAATATTTGTATTTCTTTTGTCAGCAAATATTTGAAGTATTTTCATACAATGCCACAATCTACAAAATGTAGTATAGTCATTAAATTAAAGAAGCTAGGGTTTTAAAAATTATATTATTAAATTATTAGATATATGCATTGATCATAAGCCCCAAAAATGTTCAAAGAAATTTCAGTAACTCCTAGATCCAACAACACTTGCGATAATAAGTTAAGAAATAAGGGCAGCAGTAACCATTCAGCCTCTAGAGCCTGCTCTTCCATTCAGATAAATCATGACTGATCTATACTCCAATTTTATTTATTCTCACTCACTCCATTCCCTTATCATCTTCACCAAATTTTTAAAAAACTGACCATCTCAGACTAGTTCCACAACCCCATGGAGGAGGGATTTACCCTCATCTTTGAGTTTAAAAAAGTTTTCTGATTAAAGAAGTACAATAATGTAGATAATTGGAGCAAGAACCTGTTCTGCCATTCATTCAGATCATGCCTGATCTTTCACCTCAATGCCATGTTCTAGCACTATCCTCACATTCCTTGGAATCTTTAATATCTAAAAATCTATCAATCTCTGACTTGAATATACTTTATTGACTGAGATTTTACAGCTCTTTCAAGCAGGGAATTCCATACATTCATACCTTCTGAGTGAAGAAATTCTACCTCATTTCAGTTCTAAATGGCCTATCACTTATCCTAATTGTATGTTTGCCTTTTATAGACATGGGTCTGACTTACGAAAGTAAGGAAGCCTTGCTACAATTGTACAATGTATCATTTTGGTCTCCTTATCTAAGGAAGGACATAAATGCCTTTAAGGTTTTGCAGCGAAAGTTCACTTGATTGCTTCTGATGATGAGTAATTGAGTAGTTTTGGAATTCAAGAGAATGTGATATGATATCATTTGAAATTGATGAGATTCTGTGAAAGCTTGACAGGGCAAATATTGAGATGTTGTTTCCTGACTGGATAATGTAGAACTAGGTAAAGTGGTCTCGGCATAAGGTTCAATGGGATGATGAAGAATTTTGTCACCCATAAGTTTGTGATTCTTTTAGAGTTATCTATTCCAGAGGGCTATGGATATTCAGTCATTGAGTAGATTCAAGACTGATATCAATAGATTTTTTGGACTCTGGGAGCATAAAGAAAGAAAGGAAATTGGGGAGAAGAAGTAAAATAGAGATGAACTCCCAGGAAGAAGGAGAAGATAAAGGCCTAAGATTAGATGGCTAGAGGTGGTGGAGACAGGCTAATGCAGTAAGGATTGGTAGAGGAATGGGTGACCAATCGGAGAAAGTGGAGAAGGGGAATCAATCAAAATTGCTGCAATACAAAATAGAATTGGAGAAGCTAAAAGAAGAAGCAAATCAAGGGTTTGATCAATCTGACAGAAAAGTGAAATTAAAATCCAATCACATATCAGTCATGATCTAATGTGTCATAGGGCCCTTGTAGCCTACTCCCTCTCCTATTTCTAACTTTCTTATTGTTGTAATTATTACTGCTAAAGTTGTTACAGGTAGGTTGTTCAGTGTTCTGTTTTTCATTTCAGGACCCATGGCCATGAGGACATGTTGATGGCCCATGTTAGAGGAAAGAAAAGGTGGGGAGTTGTGGAGCAATGGTTTATGTGAGGATGTTTTCAAGGGGATTGCAGTCTGATGAGCTGCTAATGGAAAGCCTTTCAAGGACATTGATGTTCCAGATTCTATTACCTCTCTTACTTATTCCTCTTCTCTCGAGGCATATGTTGTAGAACTGGTGATAAGGGTGCAGAGCCAAGTTATGTAGCCTGCAACAGAGTTTACAAATTTGAGGACAAACTGTAGTGAGTACTGCAAATTGTCCCTGTGTGGATTAGACAGCAAGCTGTTGTTTGAGAATACTAATAATTTATTGTATGATGTTGATGGTCACAGCATAGCTCTCATATGAGCACAGTCCACATGTAGTTGGATGGTGAGACTGAATCATGCACTCCATGATCTACCTACAGCATGTAGAATGCAGTGGTTCAAGATGGCAGCTCATCATCATCTTTTCATAGGCATCTAGAGATGGGCAATAAATGCTGACCAACCCAATAAAGCTGAAGAGCTATTAACATGTTCCCAAGCAGCCTCCATCTAGTTTATCATAGTCCCTTGAGGTATACAGGGAATGACTAAGTGGCACAGCATAAATGCATTGGTGCTGTTGTCGATATGATTGGTGATCATTAATATGATGACCCATGTACAGTGGCACACCAACAACATATTAAGGGAATGCAATTATTTTCAGATCTGCTACACCTTCCTGTTGAGATGTAACACCTGAACAGTTGCATGCTCTTGATAATTTTCCACCCCTTTGGCAGCCGATACTCTGGCAAAACCACATACCAGTTCTTCCTGACAACCATTCTCTCTCCTCAGACAGGTCTTCAGTGAACTCCCTGATACAGGATAGCACAGATAACAGTGAGATGTGGACAATGTCTAGTTATGGACCCAAAAGGGGATCTACATGTGTCTGAGATATTAGATGGACAGTTTCATCTGTTTTTATTATGGAACAAGATGCTGACAAAGATAAAGTGACAAAGGAGGGAGTTAAATTACTGGATTAGGCTAAAAATTTGAATTTGGAAGGGCTGGCTGTGTTTAAATTTGAAAAGTATACAGGGCCAGATAAATAAAAGATAAAGAAGACTTGCATGTTTATAGCTCTTTTCATGACCGCTCAAAGCTCTTTATCATTAACAAGTTACTTTCGATGTGTAGTCACTGTCATAATGTAAGAAATGTGGCAGCTAATTTGCACAAAGCAAAAGAGAAGAACTAAATTTTTTTTGTGATATTAATTGATAGGTCCATGTTGGCCAGGACGCCAAGAATAAGTCCCCTTCTCTTCAAAATTTTGCCATAGGATTTCTACATTCACTGAAGCAACTGGCTGGGTCTTTAGTTTAAGCTCTCATCAGAAAGATGGCACCTCAAACAGTGTCAGCCTTGATCTTTGTACCAGGCATTGGAATAAGAACCCTGTGACTCAGGTGAGAATGCTACAAGCTGAGCCACAGTTGGTATATGTCCAAGGATTCTGAGTGAAGTAAGAGAGGAAGTTGTGGAGACACAGGCATTACCGCTATCCTCCAATAAATTTTCAATTCAGGGTGTGCGCCAGAGGAATGAAACATTGTAAATGTTACACCCTTATTCAAATTTTTAAAAAGTATAACATTAAACACAATAACTAACAGTCAGATTATAAATTTAGAATTTATAATCCAGGACGACACTAACAATCGACTGAACAAATAAGTACTAAATGGAAATAAAACAGATTTGTTCAAGGTAAACATGTTCAATTGATTTTTTTTTTCTTTGCTTCTCTTCTCCTCAGACAGCCCCTTGAGACTGATGATGACTCTCTTCCACTCTGAGGTTGTGGCTCCTGTGGTATCTAAATAGTCCATTGATCAGTTCGCACATCCTGCCACAGAAGTGGCAAGTGGTGTTTGAAGAGATGGGTGGATGGGATGCTTGGTTCTTCTCGCACTCCTTCCACTGGTGCTTGGCGTTCTGGGTCTGTCAGATGCTCAAAATGGTTGGCACCTTAGCAGACGCTGCTTCTCCAATTTGAGTGTTGCAGAGCAAGAGATTCCCATAAGTCAGTTCGGATCTTGCAGTTTTTCATGGAGACACTGAGGGTGCTTGAAGCATTTTCTCTGCCCTCTTGTTTAACCATTTACCCTGACAAAGCTCGGAGTGGAAAACATGCTTTTGAAGTCTTGTGCCAAGCATGCAGATGACATGGCCAGCCCAATGCAGCTTGATTGGTTGAAACTAGTGCTGCAATACTGGAAATATTGTCCTAAGAAAGGACACTGATGTCAAAGCAATCATTCTCCCTATGAATTTGCAGGATTTTGTGGAGGCTCAGTTCATGGTATCCCTTGAGGAATTTGAGATGTCTGCTGTACACCCTCTGTTAAGCATATAAGAGGACAAGTAGCACTGCTGCCTTTTCGACTATGAGCTTGATCCAGGCTTAAGATCTTTGACCAACAGACTGTTTGTTTGATAACAGACAGCCAAAGACTGCTCTGGCATAATGGAGGTGATATCAAATCTTATTGTGTGTGTCTGCCCTGTCTGTCTAAATGGAAACTCCCAAGGTATGAAAACCATGTTGTCCATTATTTCATTGTTACTCTTGATATTTGGGAGGGGGTGTGGCAGCATTGCACTAATAGAAGACCTCTGCATTCGAAATGTTTTGCCTAATCCAGATTCTCTCAAGTGCCTCTGTGAATGCATTGACTACGGTTTGGAGTTTGGCCTCCTCCTTGTTGTGCACGAGCAACCATTGTCTGCGTACTGCAGCTCGACAGTACAGGTTGAGGTGGTCTTGGTTCTGGACTGCAGGCAGCACAGGTTAAGTTTCCCATTCATCCTGTAGAGAAGCTGCACCCCAGCAAGAAGCTTCATGGATATAGGGTGGCGTGTTGTCGTAAGAAAGATGGAGAAGAGCTTTGGTATGATGACAACTTTGAAAGACTCCGATTTGCACACACGTTGAATATGTGGTGGATCTGTTGGTGAAGTTCTTGGCTTGTTGTCCTGCAGGAGGCAGAAAATGACGTGCTGCGTATCTGTGGGCAACCAATTTTGAGAGTGATGCTCCATTGACTCTGTCAACTGGGAGATACTAAGAGAGTTGAGTTCAAAGAAGGCCATCTATAAAGGTTGCAGCCACTCACTCCACTTTTCCTGGACTCGTCTTGCTGTGAAAATCATTTCCACTGTTCTTCTTGATGGACAGGAAGTTACCACAGTTGCAGAAGGCCATAAAATGCTCTCTCATTAAAGATTTTAGTCTGTGGATCATGCCCCCTCAGGCTAGAGCCAAGACCTTCATGGTGACCTCGGTAGGTACAAAAATTGAACCTATGCTGCTGTTGTCATCCTGAATTTCAAACCTGCCATCCAGCCGACTGAGCTAAGCAGCCCCCAGAGTCACTAATAGAAGCTCTTTAGTCATTGGGAGGAGGCAATTGAGAAGAATTTTTGTAATGAGCTTTTGTGTGGTGGATAGCAGGGAGAGCCCTCTGTAGTTACCACAATCGGACTTATCGCCCTTTTTTTTTAAGATGTCCAGCTCTTGAGCTGAGAAGCTTGCTAGGCCGTTTTCAGACGGAAGTGAATGTGGCTTTCTAGCATTATGGCCAGACCAAATAAGGATGACAGGTTTCTTTCTCCGAACGGCATTTGTGAACCACGTGGCTCTCTACACTCAGCAATGGTGGTTTCAAGGTCATAATTACTGAGACTGTCTTTATACTCCTGATTTTATTGATTGAGTTTAAATTGCACCAGCTGTATGGTGGAATTTGAACCCATGTCCCCAGGGCATTGCCCTGGATTTCTAGGTCAGTGACCCTACACCACCATTTCCTCTTCGTTCTCTAACTGTCTTTGTTTCAACATGTTCAGTTGGAATCAGCACTAATGTTCATTTTTACCTGAGAAAATAACTTTTTTTCTCGTTTGAGCCAACAATATACAAATAAATCCATGTGACACAAATGTCTGAGGAAACATTATCTTGCTTTGACTCTCATTAATGTATTTAGGAATTCTTGTCATACATTTTACTCTATAAACGTGGATGGATAGATAGATAGGACTAGAGCAAGGTTACAACAATGACTATAGAGTTTTGTGCTTGAGCAAACAGGATTTATATATTACAGAGTTGTTGGGAGTCAAATTTCAGATAACTGTTAATGAAAATCTTCTTTTTATTAATTAGCGTTACTGACCAGGTCAGTCTACTTTACACAGACATGAATAGTAAACATAAACCTTCTGGTATGTGCTGATCATTTTCATATTGAACACAGCAGTTTCAACTCTAAGTACACAACTTAATATTAAACCAAAGTGATTAAAAGATGCTCCTATGAATCTGAATGTTCTACTAAAATTGACCTCCTTTCATTGATCAGAGATGACGACCAACCATATTAACCAATGAGACTTAACTTATTTATATATCATTCTCTGTTCTGTATATTCATGAAGGCATTAACCATATTAAAATAATTACTTCCATTAAAATAATATAAACATAGAAAAATTTCCTTCTTCATGAATGGCAATTTCTTCCTATTTGATGCCTAAAATTTACTCAGTGCAGATATAACTAATAAATAGAAATGCATATGATCACCAACTGTAACACAGTTGAGAATGTGCCTTTGTCTGAGGAAGATCTCACTAGCTTCACTCAGTTGATATATCTCAATTGCTATGACTGATAGAATAGCCATATCATTTATAATGACTGTGCTGTTGGAAATGTATCTTAGATACAGCAGAACAGGTTATATTTTTAGACACTTATGAGATTGGCAACAATATATAAGCATCAGTTCATAATGGTCGCAGCCTCAACAAAGCTGTACTCTCTAAAGGTCACTTTACTCAAGCTGAACAGTTAATAATTACTGTCTGTCTCAGCTGACAGTAGAAGATCACTGTGAATGTTGTATGAAGTCATAAATTATCTGATTTATGTTCTATTTTCCAAAAAGAAATTATGATTGCAGCTTGACACTTGCCTGAGGGATAATATTGGAGTCAGGTTGAGGCAATTTTCACTTTTAATTTTTTACAGTTAGTAGAATAGAGTCAAAAGGGTATTCTGAGGGGATATTGAGGAAAATTCTGCCAGTGTGCAAAATAAATGAGTTATTTGACCAAGAAAAATATCTGACTACTACAGTAAGTTTGTGTGTAAAACACAAACGGACAGCTGAAAATATTTAATTATCCCTGACAACATATATATTATTAGTTTTTTAATGAATGCAAGGTGAAGGGAAACCAGTTATTTGTGTAGTACCTTTGGTCAGGGCCTGAGGGAAAGCTCACACAACAGGGGTAACATGATTGGCTGGCTGCCAATGTTAACTGTACTTATTACACTCATCCCATGCAGAACACATCCATCTCATGCTCTGAGCTGACATCCCATTTATTCTTAGATCCATTTGTCATGACTGCAATCACTAAAATGAATAGGAACTTTGTGGCATGATAGATTACAGTTCTAATTAGGAACAAAGAAGAGAAGCGTACACAAGTTGAGCAGGTTTTTTTTTATATACTGCTAACAATGGTGCTCAGCTATGTTCTTAAGAACTAGTCTTTCTAATTCACCAGCATGGCCTAACTTCACACTCACCCAGCATGTAAGGCAAGAAGTTCCATGCTGGTGAGAATTTTGGGAAAGCTCACAGCAAATATTGAAGGCCTACCTGAAGGCAGGTTCAATAAAAACTGCAACATTGAGTAAAGCATTCCATCAATTAGCTTTTGTCTTACACAATCTGGGGATCTTCACACTATTTTTCATTTTTTTTTATTAATAGTTTTCTACAATTAAGGGATAAATAGTGAATTGAAGATGCAGTCACACAAATAATGCCCGAGTAGGATCGTCAAATGACAGCATCCCTTCCACCAATTTTGTGGAGTCCTGCTACTTGGAGCGTGCATTTGACACCTAAGACATGACACATTTTATGTGTTGGAAACATTTCAGAGGTGTTTTCCATCTGATGAAACATTCCGCATCACGGAAAAAGAGGGGATTGGAAGGCCTGGCCAGAAAGGGTGGAGTGGAGAGCCAATCCAATGCTCATTGCTGTTTCACAGAAAATCCAAAGCAGTTACTATGGGGCACTTGCACTAAGCTGGAGTTTGGTTTTTTTTATTATTATTCCTTCAGCTGCTGTGGGCTTTGCTGATTGGGTCAAAATTATTGCCATTGAGAAGGTGGTGGTGAACTGCCTCTTGACCTGCTGTCGTTCATTTGGTGTAGGTAAGCCAACAATGCCATTAGGAAAAGAGTTCCAGGATTTTCCAGTAACCTTGAGGGAATGGTAATACACCAAGTCGAGATGTTGAGTGGATTGGAGGGGAGCTGGCAAGTGGTAGAGTTTCCATGTATCTACTGCCCTTCTCTGGGTGGCAGATC